GATAAGTTATGGTGAGCTCGACCCTTCACCTTAGTGGTCTCTAAAAACTTCACCTCACTGCAGTCTAATAAGTAGTAAAACATCAGATAAACTTAAATTAGAGAACATTCTGACCATTGCTCCTCAAAATTGTCAAGATCATCAAGAGCCAGGAAAGTGAGTAGTTTTTTCAGTGCAGAAGCAGCTAAGGAACCTGGGCATGGTGATGCATGCCTGTAATTGGAGCTTAAATAAACAAGGAAGCACTGTAAAAGTAACTAAGGAAGACGTGATGAAAGGTAATATACTTTATCTTGGAACATAAAAAGGGCATTAAGGAAAAAAAATAATACGTGATTAAAGTATGAAGTTTAGTTAATAATGTGTCAATATTAGTTTATTAGTTGTGACAAATATACCATATTATTATATGACAATGAAGGAAGTTGAGTGCTGGATATACAGCAATAATCTGTTCAACCTCTGCATATCTAAAATGGTTGTAAAATAATACATTTTTTGAAAAAAACGCTAGTGTTTAAAAAGTGGGGGAGAGCCAGATGTGGTGGGACAAACCTGTAATGCTAGATACTCAGGAAGCTGAGGCAAGAAGATCATAAGTTGGAGGCCAATCCTATGCAATTTAGTAACCTTACCTCAAAATTTAAAATAAAAAGGCCTGGGGATATAGCTCAGTGGCAGAGAGCACCTCTGTTGCTATCCCCTGTACCAACAGCATCAACAAAAAAAGAGAGGGGTGGCAAAAAGAACAGAGAGAATATAGCTCAGTGGTAGATTGTTTGCCTAGCACGTGCGAGGCCTTGGATTCCACACCAGCGCTAGAAAAAAATGGCACTGGTGAGAAGTAGTAGAGAAAGATTACTGTGTTATGTGGTCTGGTTATGAAGCAGAAAGAGATTGTAAATTGTAAAAAATGCTGGTCTTAGTGTTAACATTAGGAAAAAAGGTTACAAGTGAAACCTGTATGTCTGTCTCTGCCTGCGCCCCCACCCCCACCCAGTGATGGAATTGAACTCAGAAGTATTCTGCTGAGCTGTGTGTGTGTCTTTGTGTGCGCACGTGTGTCCCAGCTCTTTTTATTTTATTTCTTGTCTGGAGGGAATCTCACTAAGCTGTCAGGCTGGCATCAAACTTGTACTCCTGCTTTAGCCTCCCAAGTAGCTGGGGCTACAGTCACACATTACCACACCCAGCAGGGGATCAGTTACTAATTTTCTTTTTTTGTTGTTATTACTAATTTTCATTATTAGTTATAGATAATATTTCAAACTCTTATTTTTTCTTATGTATTGGAAAGTGCTTTGATAATCTAAAAAATGTAACAAGAGGAAAAAGCTTTGTGATTGTTTAGAAATCATTTTACAGAGTTCCTGAGAGTAACTTGCTTCTTTTCTAAAAATACAGCCTGAATTCTGTGGGTGTTAAAGGAGAGTTATCACCAAAATGAACAACTCATTGAAACACTACTTAGTGGAGGTTTGAAAATTCAAGCAGTTGTTGGTATATTTTCCCTCCAATTTAAATAAAAACTTGAATTTGACATCCAGTCCAAAGCTTTTCCTCCCTGGCCCCAACACATCTAGCACAAGCTTGACCCATATTTGATCACCTGCAGCAGCTGCCTTCTTGGTGTTTACCTCCTTATTCTTCTGCTGCTCACTAAACATGCTGCTTGAGAGAAGGATGGAGAGTCAAAGAAAACAGGGTCTTATCACACAACGGAGCTTGAAAATATAAATGAGACTGGAAAATTGTCAGGTAAATAGTATGTGCGTTTCAAACTGGCAGTAATGACAGGCGACATAAGTGATAGGCTGATTGATATAGAAGAAAAGAAATAGGCTTTCAGGAAAAGCTTGGATTTAAATCTTCTTTTGAAATAGGGTCTCACTTTGTAGGCCCAGGCTGGCCTTACACTTGTGGTGATTCTCCTGCCTCAGCCTCCTGAGTGCTGGGATTACCCTTTCTAATACCTTGTTCTCCTTGATACCCTTCCATTTCTCTTATAATCTCCCTTCTTACTTTCATGTCATCTTTTCTTGTTTTCTCCCTTAGATTCCATATATGAGAGAAAACGTGATACTTGTCTTCTTTCTGATTCTGGTTTATTACACTTAACATGGTGATCTCTAGTTCTATCCATTTTCCTGAAAATTAATATGATTTTGTTCTTTATGGTTGAATAATACACCATAGTATGTATATATAGTAATTCTTTGTTTTTTTGGTACCAAGAATAAACTCGGGTCCTTGCGCTTACGAAGCAGGCAGCAGAACCACTGAGCTAAATCCCTGGCCCCAAAGTATATATAGTGTGTATATATAGCACTTTTTATATACATTTATCTGTTAATGGGTATCTAAATGCTTCCATTACTTAGTGGTTATGGATATGTGGGTATCTTGATGGTACGCTGACTTTAATTTCTTTGGGTATATACTGAGGATTAGCATAGATGGATTATTGTTTCGTTTTGTTTTCTGGTACTGGAGATCAAACTCAGTATCTTGTACTTGTGAGGCAGGTGCAGTGTTACTGAGCTAAATCCCCAGCAGGCTGGGTTACATAGTAGCTTGACTTTTAGTTTTTTGTTTTGTTTGGTTTTGGTTATTTTGGTACCAGCGATCAAACTCACAACCTTGCAGTGGCGTGGTACCACTGAGCTAAATCTCTGGCCCCTACTTTTAGTTTTTTGAGGAATCTCCATCTGATTTTCATAGTAGCAGGACTAATTTACATTCCTACCAACAGTGCACAAAGGTTCCCTTTTCCTCTGCATGTTTGCCAACATTATTGTATGTAGGTATATATTATTTTCATATTCTTAATAGCCATTTTGACTGGAGTGAGATGGAATCTCAGTATAGTTTGTTTTTTTAATAATAGTTTTGTTTTGTCTTGTTTTGTTTTTGGTACCATGGATCGAACTTGGGTCCTTGCACTTGTGAAGCAGGCACCGGAACCACTGAGCTAATAAACCCCTGGCCCAGTATAGTTTTGATGTGTGTTTTCCTGACAGCTAAAGATGTTAACATTTTTTCATATAATAATGGACCATGCGTACTGCTTTAGAAAAGTGTCCGGTTCATTTGCCCATTAATTGAATTTTTAAAAATTCTTTATACATTTTAAATATTAATCCTGTCAGAATAGTAACTGGCAAATGTTTTCTCCCATTCTGTGGCCTGGGGCCAGGGATTTAGCTCAGTGATGCTGCCACCTGCCTTGCAAGTGCAAGGACCCGAGTTTGACCCCAGTACCAAAAAATAAACAAAAAAACCCATTCTATGTTCTGTCTCCATCCATTATTTCCTGTGCTGTATAGAAGCTTTTATTTTATTTTTATTTTTTTGGTACCAGGGATCGAACTCAGGATCTTGCCCTTGCCAGGCAGGTGTGGCACCACTGAGCTACATCCCTGGCTCTATGTAGAGGCTTTTTAATTTGATATAATCCCATTTGTTGAGTCATCGTTGTCCTCCCCCAACACTGGCAGTTGAACCCAGGGCTTCTGCATGAACCGCAGCATATTGTTTTAAAATTTTTATATACAGAGCCCTTTTTAATTTTGAGATAAGGTCTCCTTGGGCCAGGGATTTAGCTCAGTGGTGGTGCCTGCCTGGCAAGCACAAGGTCCCAAATTTGATTCCCAGTACCTAAGGAAAAAGGCAGCAGAGGGCGGGGGATAGGGTCTCCCTAAATTGCCCAGGCTGGTCTCAGACTCATAGTCTCCCTGCCTTACCCTCCCACAGTGCTAGGATTACAGGCCTTTGCCATCACACATACCTGTCATTCTATTTCTGGGATGAGTTCTTGCTTATATGTTGCCGAATTGGTTTTAAACTCATGAACTCAAGTGATTCCCCTGCCTCAGCCTCCCAGTCTGCTAGGACTATAGGTGTACACCACCAAGCCCAGCTTTGTACCTCTTTTTTTTTTTTTTCATGGCAGCAAATATTTAAATGTTTATATTTTAAAAACAGCGTCTTGCTTTGTAGTACAGACTGGCCTTGAACTCAATATGTAAGCTGCCCCAGCCTTGAATTTAACAGCAATCCCCTGGTCTCACCCTGCTGAGAACTTGGATTACAGCCCTGTGCTCCCATGCCTAGTTTATTTCACTGTTTAGATGTACCTTTTAAACTAGTTTCTGTTGGTGATCATTTAGATTATTTGTGGTATTTATAACCAGTGCTCTTATGAATATTCTTATATGTGTGATTGATTTATTTTCATGGATTTTGTATTTTTATTTCCTGTAAAAGACCAGTGTTTTTGTTTTTTCAGCACTAGAGACAAAAACTGTCAGTGGTCTACTGGTAGGCCACATCTCAATCCTAGATGTGAGCATTTTGAATTTTAATGTGTTTTGGGGGGTTTTTTTGGTTTTGTGTTTTTGGTACTGGGGATCGAAACTCAGGACCTTGCACTTGCAAGGCGGGCAGTGGAACCACTGAGCTAAATCCCTGGCAAATTTTAATATATTGCCAAATTAAAGGAATATAATTTTAGAAGATGGAAAGTTTCTCATTTAGTTCTATTTTCCAAAAGGATTGTGATTTTTTTTAAGTCTTTAGGGTCAATGTTATATATTGTATATTTGCCAATTTAAAAAAAGAAATTTTAGAAGTAAAAAATGCAATTGGATGTGATTTAAAATAATACGTATTAAATAATCATACCTACTTTCCCTTTCCCATGAAAAACAGCAGAAGAGTTGTCTATTGAGATTGTGTTTGTTCTGAAATACTAGAGGTTCCTTGATAATGTTTATCTAATAAAGGTTGAATTGGTTAACTTTTAAAGCATCTTGGAAATGAAGTTTCACAGGCAGGTGAGTGAAAACATTAGCCAGAAATAAAGACTGGGGTTTTCCTCCTTTCTAAATCTAATGAAATTATGATGCTTGCCTCCTCCCCTTGTCCTGGAAAAAAAGAAAGTTGAAATTAAAAGTCCTGTGAGAGGTTGTGAAATTCTCATATTGTATATTTTCTTTCAGATTCCTTTGTTTCTTCCTCTTCCTCTCAGCCTGTATCTCTATTTTCGACCTCACAAGGCAAGTTTGTAACTTTTTTATGCATTAATAAAAGAAAAATGTTGAGAAAGAGGCTGTAACTGGGGATATGAGGCACAATTCTTTTATAGTATATGCCCCTACATCCCTTAAAATAAAAACTAATTAGAAGCCAGTCCTTTCTTTTGAGCAGTTGTCAGTGGGTCCTATAAAGGTTAATAAAATAGAAGAGGCTGGGCAACATTTAACAAAGCACAAGGATTAAATGTAGTTTTGGACATTCCTTCAAAATTGAAAAACTTGCCTGCAGAATTTGGAGCATATAGAATTGTGGCTCAGAAAACACCCCAACCCAGTGCATTTAATTTCTATGCACTTATGTAACTGGTTTACAGAGTTAATGGCTTTGGAAAAATAGCATAAAAGTGTGCTTCCACTGACCTACAAAAATAGCTTCCCAGCTAGAGCACATATTGTAATGTCAGATTTGTCCAAAAAGCCAAAGTACTTTCAAATTGCCTAAAACATTGAACAGATAAAATAAATGTTTGGCAATTAAGATTTCTTGTACTGGAGATGAAGCTGTGGCTCTTTTCTTTTCTTTTTCTTTTTCTTTCTTTTTTTATTTTTTCTGTCAACCAATGAGGAATAACTCCCAAGTTCATAAGGGTAGTCACTGCCAAGAATGTGAGAGGGAGAGAGTACATTATCTTCATTTGTTTATACTAATAATAAAGCACTGCTACTGTTCTTGTGCTAGACCCTACATATTGGTCAGTAGAAACCCTTATTTTTTTAAAAAGGGAAAAAAAGATCATTAAAATAACTGGATAGATGATAGATCTTAGAAGCCACATGTAAATAGTTTATTGTCTCAGCTAAAATTCTCTAGCTGTAAAGTTTGGATGCTAGTTTGTTAGAAACACTTTGACTTTACAAGAATAAAAAACCTTTTAATGGGTTAAAGGTAGTGAAGTGTTTGGTATAATCTGCTCGCAGGAAACATGATAGACAATTTGTTACTTTTAATTCAGATTATTTAGAGCTTCTGTGTTTCATAGTGTCCCTAGTTGTGTGCATTTGGAACTCATGGATCAAATCATGACCTTTAAAATGAACATGTACACATTTTAAAAATAGAAATTTTGTGAATTGTTACAAAATAACTCAAATAAAAAGTAGTTCCATTGTTGTTGACACTTGGAACTTGTTGGAAATTATATTTTAAAAGGTTTTTTTTCTTCCTCACATGAGAAATTTAGTACTTTAGGCAAATAGGTATTATATTTATTCTACTCTGGAAGAAAAAATTCCCAGCATTTGGGAGGTGAGGCAGAGGCAGAAAGATCACCACAAGTTTGAGGCCACCCTAGGCTACATAGTGAGTTCAAGGCTAGTCTGAACTACATGGTGAGACCATCTCAAAAACCTGCCCCCACAAATCATAGTATAAGTAGAACAATTAACTGTATTTTATTGTAATTAGATCTTTAAAAAAATACATCAAATCACTTTATTTTTCCATACAGAAAGGGAATAGTTGATGTCCTAAACAGTGAGCAGTGTAACCCGTAGACAACAAACATAATGTATAAAGTATTGAAAAGATAACTATCACAGCTTTAAAAATTATTTTAATTCTTTTTGGTTTTTTTTGGAGGGGGTACCAGAGATTGAACTCCAGTCCTTGTGCTTGTGAGACAGGTGTATTTTAATTTTTGTTAGCAAAAATGTACGCTGACGAAAAGGTAATGTTCAAGGGCCAGGGATATAGCTCACTGGCATCACCATCTGCCTCAAAGCTCAAGGTCCTGAGATGGATCCCTGGTACTGCAAAAAAAAAAAAACAAAAAAACCAAAACCAAACAAACAACACTAATGTTCAAGTAGCTTTCAGTTTCACAGTTTAGCATTTATAAAAGAGAATACATTAATCTTTTTTTTTTGCTTGCAAAAATTATTTTGAAGCCAGGCATGGTGGTACACACCTGTAATCCCAGTACTTTGGCAGCTGAGACAAGAGATCACTACAAATTTCAGGCCAGCCTGGGCTACATAGTGAGTTCAAGGCTGGCCTGAACTACATAACACGACCCAGTCTCAAAAAAATCAAGAAAAAATTATTTTGACTAGTGGAGATTCAGGACAATGATATTTTAAAGAGCTAGTTGAAAATGCTATTTCAAGTTGGGCATGGCGGCATACAACTGTAATCCCAGGACCTTGAGAGGCTGAGAAAGGAAGGATCACTACAAGTTTGAGGCCAGCCTAGGCTACCTAGTAAGACACTGTCTTAAAAAAAAAAAAACAAGTATGTATTGTGTACATCTTGGCTGGGCAAGGTGGCACATGCTTGTAATCCCAACACTTTGGGAGGCCGAGACAGGAGGATCACAAAATTGATCCCAACCTGGGCAACTTAGTGCCTTAATAAGATCTTGCCTCAAAAATTTAAAAATGCATTGGGGCTGTAGCTCCATACAAAAGGCCCTGGAGTCAATCCGCAGTACTGCCTTGCCCTACCCCTCAAAAAAAAAAAAAAAAAAAAAAAATGCTGTATCCTTGAAAGTATCCCAGTTTGTAGCCTCTATTGGTTTCATTTTCTCCTGTAAACAAATAGATGATAGAAAATTAGCCCAGCCAGGCGTGGTGGCGCACGCCTATAATCCCAGCACTCGGGAGACTGAGGCAGGAGGATCGCTGTGAGTTTGAGACCAGCCTGGGCTACATAGTGAGTTCCAGGTCAGTCTTAACTACATAGTGAGACCCTGTCTCAAAAAAAACAAAAAAAAAAAGAAAGAAAGAAAATTAGCCCAACTGGGCTCTACTTAATTATCAGAATGGAGGGCCCGCCTGTTGTTTGAGGGAACAACTTGACTGATAATTAGGAATGATGTAGAGAAGCTGAGACTAGAAACTTCTTTGGGACCCTAACCGCTATGTAACCCCTAGTTAGCCAGCATATAGCAGCACACATTTATTTCTACCCAGCTCCAAGATAAGATTAAAACAGAGTGTATGGAAGCCTGGTAAGGGTAAACAAGACAGTGACTCAAGGCCTCCTTAGAACAGAACAGCCTGAGGTCTGGAGATGAAAGACCAGGTGCACCGTATAGCTGACTCCTTTAGACAGATAGCAGAAAACCGACCCCCTGACCCCTGGCCCACTTGCTATGCTTGCAGTCCTCTTCCCTTGCCTTTAAAAAACTGTGCTAACCCCTGTGCTGGGCCTCTCTGAGCTGCTCAGTTCTGAGAGTGCCGTCTGGCCAGACTAATAAAGGTCTATTTACCAACAAGCCCGGTGTGTTCCTTCCTGGGTGACTCTGCTGCTCCTTGAGCTCTCAGAGCCTCGCTGAGCTATAGGTCCCAGCATCTTGGAGGCCCTTTGGCTGTTCAAGGCTCCCAGAAGTAAGGCCCTAGGTCTTGCATCCAGAGCCATCATTGGGCTATAGGACTCAGCATCGTGAAGGTCCTTTTGGCTGTTCACGCTCCTCGGAGTGGAAGTGAGACTTTATCTTACACTTCTATACTAGCTTAATAAAAATAAGGGCTGGGCAAGGGATGGATGTAGCTCACTGGTACATCCTGATTTTGATCCCTGGTACCACAAAAGAAAAAAAAATTTTAAATGAATTAATTAAAATAAGGGGCTGGGTGTGGCGGTGCATGCCTGTAATCCCAGCATTTGGGAAGCTGAGGCTGGAAGATCACAACATGTTCAAGGCCAGCTTGGACTACATAGTGAATTCAAGGCCAACCTGAATTACAGAGTGAGCCCCTGTCTCAAAACACCAAACAAGGGGCTAGGGATTTAGCTTAGTGGCACCTCATCTTCCTTGCAAGCACCAGGTCTTGAGTTTGATCCCAATACAGGGTGGGGGTGGTTAAATAAATTTTAAAAAAATAAAAAAATAAGGGAAGAAGAAGTTGTTGGTGTACTTAATTAACTGTATGAAAACCCCAGGGAGGGTATGAAATGCTGGAACCAGTCCAGTCCTTTCAGACTGACTGAACCATCAGCACAAACCTTGAGTCCATAACTGGCACAAGTTCAACTCATCTCATGTCCCTCATGGCAAATTACTTTTTTTTGGAGTGATAGTGGGAACTAAACCCAGGTACACTGAGCTACATCTCAGCACCCCTTCACCTTTTTTGAGACCAGGTCACAGTTGCTAAATTGCCCATCAATACTTGAAGTCCACCTACCTCAGCCTCCCAGTATACTGTAATTACAAGTATATACCCCCACACCTGACTATGACGTTTATTTTTAATCCTAGAATATGTATTTATCATTACTGGGTTTCCGGGAGATACATGTACAAAAAGTCATTTATTTGGACTGAGTAAAAGGGAGTCAAAATTTTCCAAAGTAAATTATGTGAAATGTATTAAATTGTACTACTGTGCTGCATACAGCTACGTAAATTGGGAAGATAAGCTTTTTACATGAATATGTTTATAATTAGAATGTCAGTGGAACAATCAGTTCCTTCCTTGAAAAGTTGCACTCCCAAGTAAGTCCTTGAGTCTTTTGCTTGTGAATTCTTGTTACCATGAGCAGAGTTTTAATTTCAGCCTAGTCCTTGAGAGAGCTTCAAAATCTGAATAAATTTTAATGATGTTATATTGTACTTTATTAAAAATATAGGCAGATATGTTGGTATATGGCTAATTTTTATTGAGCTATTTTATGCTTAATACTTATAAATTCATCTCATTTAATCCCCAAGCCAATTCTATAGAGGAAAAGTACTAGCTTTTTTACCCATTCAGGAAACTATAATTTAAAATGATGATTTGCTCAAGGTCACACAGCAAGAGACAAAGAATTTCAAGAAAACTATTTTAGGATTTAGAGATTTTTGTTTGTTTGTGACAGGGTCTCACTATGTAGTTCAAGCTAGCAGTGTCCCAAGTGCTGGGATTATACCATGAATGTTGAGATTACTGGCATGTGCTACCATGCCTAGCTGGAGACTTTTTAAGAAATGCCATTTTGTAGTTGATATTAAAAGCATAGAGCAAAAGAGGCAGAA